TTCTCCCCCCCCCCAACTCCGCTCTATTTTACGAAAATGATTAATAGGCTTCCATTAACCCTGATATTTGTGGTAAGAGATATATGGAAGACATAATGAGACAATGCCGGGTGGTAGGTGAGAGCACAGGATCAAGAATCCCACATTAATGCTGCCGTTGGTTCCACTGTGAGACCCCCAGACAGTGGCTTAACCTCTAGGTGCCAGTTTCCTCACTTGGTATAATAGAAATAGTCATGGTAAAGTCATAGGATTGTTGGGAGGATTAGATGAGACAGTTCGTAGAAATACGTAGCTTCACACCTAGAACTAACTAAGTGCATAATAGATGTTGATTATCATTGTTCGTAGTGGCACACAGTAAATGAAATGTAGCATAGCGAGCACACTCACCTAGTACCGGCAGGTTATTCAGTTGCATTTGATTCAAACAAATAGGGCTGCCCTCAAAGCTGATTTTTTGGCCAGCACTCTCTAGTGTTTTGTTCACTTCTTCAGTAGCTGCTTTCATTGCATCCGGGTTCCTATCAAAATTTAAGAGAAAAGAAAAAATGTTCAGAAAATAAATTTTTCCATCCCCTAAGATCTGTAAGCCGATAGGCATTTTTTTTTTCTTCTTTCGACTAGTTTCCAAGATACCAGGTTGGCCAAGATATCAGAATACTATCAAATGGAGGGAAAGAGGGATAGGGACATTCCCGTTTGCTTTTCCTCCACTTGTAATTGAGTTTATGTCCAGGATACTAGCAAGAATTGTTGCCTTAAAAGGTTCATGCTACATAAAAGTAAAACTTTGGTCAGACTTTTGTAAATAAATGATTCTAATAAGGATTAGACATGGGATTTACATAATATTACAACAGTAAGTTAAGTCTCAAAAATGTATGACTGATAAGTATTTATGTGACTATCATAAACTATGGCTATGATTACCTTTATGATATTAAATTAAATTGATGTTGTAACTTTACTGAATATCTTTGAAAGGTATTTAACATTTATGACAAATTAGTAATGACTTTTTATATCTAAAATTAAGTTTTTAAATGCTTTTCATGATAAGACCTAGAATCATCCATTATCAATGGAAATTTGACATTCCCAATTCTATGGAATAGTAATTTTGTGTCTACATGATACAACATACAATTTAATTGGAATAATACAATAAACCATTTAATTTCAAATTCCTAAAAGACACACTTTGGAAAGAAATCGTGTTGTGTAAAATATATGTTATATTCCGAGTTTTTCGGTTGCATAAGCTTTAAAAGGCAAAACTTTAGTCTCATCAATATTATCGATAACATAGTTGGTCAAATAAACAGTAAGACAGCAATTATTAATTGAATGAAAAACCAAACTGTGGCTGCACGAATGAATAAGGCATAGCTACTGCCCTGATAGTTGTCAATAAGTCACGAATCACTTAAATATATTTTTGTGATTGTTAAGCCAGCCTCACGAGGACCAATGTGAGGTTCAAAGCAAGAGGTCTGGACCAGGTGACCTGAATTAACCTGGCACCAACACATCCAGGTTCTGAGACTGGGGAAACAACCCTTTCTCTGAGACTTAGTTTCTATCAAACATGCTTACCAGACACAGCTGCTTACGTTTTCTTGGGAATTGAATAAGCTGACACATGTTAAATGTTCACATGCTTAAGTGTTACATTTTTGATTGATGGAATGAGAAAGTAATACGAGTCTTTTTTTTTTAAGAGGTTAAAATAATGGAATGTCTACTGTCAACCCAAACAAAGAAATAGAAGTGTTGCTAGTCACCTAATCATTTGAAGTAAGCTCCAGAAAGTTGCCGGAATGGTATTGGCTTGCGATGCCCAGAGGATGGCAAGGTGCGTCTTGGCCTTCTCCAGGTCATCAAAGGTGGACACTGTGTCGTTCAAAAACATACGCAGACTGACCAGTTCTGAGATGTGATTCCTCTTTTGAAGGTTCTCGTGTCGCAAGCTCTCTGCTAGTTTTTCCCGGGCATTGTGTGCCGTCTTGAACAGGTGAATGGGTAGGCCTGCTGCCAGGGCTGGAAAGACTTTGTCAAATTGCTTGAAGTTGTCAAGGTTGTTTAGAATATGTGTTCTTTGTGCGTCTTGTCTTGTAAGATCTCTGCCAAAGAGAGTTAAATACCCAGCTTCAAACATCACTCGGTAGCAGAAGGAATACATCCCTTCTGTCACCCAGGCAGAGATCTTGGAGTTAGAAAAGACTGGAGGTCTCATGGTAAGTTGGAGGTTTTCCATCATGCTTTCTGTGAGAGAATTCAAGGCATTGCCCTGCAGGGTTTTGATGAAAGTGTCGTTTATGTTTTCAGTGGTATTTCCATCATTCGGGTCAATGCTTCTGTGCCCAAATGCCTGACAGGCAATAAAACATGTGAAAAATAGAAATTAAACATGATCTAGTGCTAGTAAAAGACTGAAAAGCAGATTAGATACTTTCATAATTGCCTACTTGTTGAAAAAAAAAGAAAGAGGGGGTTTGACTTCCCCACATATAATTTCATAGTACTGAATTAATAAATGGCCAAATCATAACCTTTCTATAAGGCCAAATTTAAATCCAGATCTCCCGTAAAACTCTCCTGGACCATTTAGCTCGTATATTTCTTACTTCTTATGCTATTGCACATATTTGCACACTATTTGCACATTAACTAATTGATAATGTTCTAAAATCATTAGTTCTATTTCACTTTCTTTGTAGGTGTATTTTAAGTAGACTTTTTATTTAAGCTAATTATTAGCAAATACCGTGCTTAATTTTTATTTGCAGAAAAATTGATTCAATTTTTCTCTATAATAGAGCTTCTTAAATTTTATCTAAATGACGACAAAGTATCTGGTCAACTTCTCAACAAAATGGAGCACTTGTGTGGCATGAGTGTGATAAAACAATTGTTGAATGTTAGTTTTTCACCATAAGTATTCTGAATATCGTCTCAACGTGGTTGACATAATGAATTTTTATCTGTCTTCCTCATATAGTGCTACCTGGCTCAGTAAAGCATTTAATTTTTATTTCAACCTCATTAGATGGTTTACATATGGCACATCTATACATATTTTGGTTTTTTAAAGGATTAGTACTAGGATTCTATGACTAATTTGATTTACTTATGTTTCTGAGACTCACCACATAAGGATAACTTTCTTCAATACCTTTATCTTTAAATCTAAGTACAACTGTAAATAGAGTGGCATATGAAAGGTAGAGAACGAACAGATAGAATGTTGTATAAATGCAAAACTGGTTACCTTTGCAGAAGTAGCAAAGTGAAATTTTTTCCAATCAAAATATTTTCCATGGCACAATACTTTGTGATATGACAAGGGATTTGTGATAAAGTGGACATATTTTCCCACTAGTTTGCAGGTAAAAACATGACCATGTTTCCTTTGATTTTCTCTGAGGAACTCTAGAGGATTGGCACCAAATTGCAAGGCACAGCCCAAGTATGGAATCAACCCATTCTCTAGAGGTGGTTCGCCCATTTTCCTGTAAGACACAAAAGTATGATAGACATGGATAACTCCATATTTGTTTTTTCATTTACACTAGGTTTTAAAATTTTTACCACTGACTTCAGAATTCAAAACTCTACAGGTATTTCTTTTGTTGATTGAATCCTGCTTTTTTACTACAATGATGGATCATATTAACCTAGCAACATGAGATGTTGGTGAAGATGATCACGAAATCCATTCACTCATCCACGCATACGTTCAACAGGCACTTTACTATGTGATTGTCACTTTTCCCAATGACGGGGGTAAGAGCATCTACAAGGCCAGCAAGATTCTTGCTCTCAGTGTAGAAAAAAATCCTACATCCTAGTGCTCATATTTTTCTAAGCATCATGTACTTAAGTATCTCAAAACATTTCATTTGATTGTATTCTTTAAAGATATAGAAGTATCTGTATCTTTATATATAGAAGTATGTCTCTGAGTAGCAGAGAGGATTACAGAATTGAAGTTCTTAAAATCTTCTTAGTTTAAAGATATTACTATTCTTTAGTGACAGTTGAAGAGGAGAATCTCATTTAATAAATTAGCTTATTACAAAATAAAGCTAGTAATATAAACATCAACAGGATCATCAATTGTACTTCAAAGCTGTCATGCTATTTTAAAATGTTGTGTTTTTTTTTTTGAAAGCATAAACTTATTTTCTATCATCCACTACTGTCCCTCCTGGTAGAAGAACATAGTTTCTTACATTTATTTTACTTGACATTTGTTTTCTTAGTTTGGAGATAAGTAGTTTAATTAAAAGGACAAACTATCAGGCCTGCAGTAAAATACACTAAAGGACATAGGAACTTCAAAAGGTAAACAGAACATAGCAATGTACATAACTGAAGATATGCCAGGAGTGATTCTCTTTTTGAGACTGACATAACAGGGTATTTCTACATGCCCTCCCACACAATTACTCTTTGAGCCAATCAGAAGTTAAATAAACTATGACTCTGGGTCTGACTCTATTTGTGTTTCTTGTATTCTTGAACCAATTGTAAATAAATGAAATTGGTGTCACATACACTTAGCAAATTTTCCAAATTCACCATGGTTGATTAACATTAATAAGAAAAGAGTCATAGAATAAGCAATTCAGTCTATGCTTTTTTCTGGGCTTGAACTGAGTGTATCCGATACTCAAGAACAAGCTAAAAAGAAAATCCTTGTTAGAGCATTTTATCCATGTTATTAAAAGAAACCCTTTTCACTATAGATTTTCACCTCCCACTTGTATCCTTATTAATTTGAACGTCCTTTTTGCATGCATACATAAACACTCACAGAGATCTTAGAAAATTTCTGTAGGTTATGTTTAACAACTGTATACATTTATACATTACCATTGGTAAATGTCATTACTAAAAAGGGAAGTTGTCATTATACATTTTGTTAGCTATAGTAAAAAATACCACTTGTAAAATTCAAATTAAATTTTAATTTAAAAAATTAAAGAAGATGATGCTAATATGTATAAGTATGAAAAACCAAATTTATAGTATAATAAGTGAAGATAAAAGAACATTGAATTAATGAACCAAAAGGCAATTTAAAGATAAAACTTTCTTACCTTTTCCTTATTCCAAAAATCGGCCATAAATAACAACACACTGCTACAACTATCCCCCAGACCAAAAATATGGTTATCATTTTGCAGATCTAATACACAATATCTGAGGAGGAGTATCTATGATTAGAAAGGCAAGGACGCCACTGAAAAGACTCAAGCTAGACTTTTTATATACGTAGGACCCTGATCCATTAACTTGAACTTGGGTGACCAAAGCAAACAATTAGCCATTTGTTCATCCTATTAGGAGAAAAAAAAAGTGATATTAACTGGCCTTGAACTAAGTCCACGGGTATCAGAAGAGGTTCCAAAACAATCAGAGACCTGCAATACTTGATAAGGTGAAGGTCTTTCAAACATATGCTGACTTAACATTCGGACCTGGGGACAACAGCTAATATTATGAGTTTAGTATGTCTATAAAAAGAACAAATAAACCTGTCCAAGATGAACATATCTAATATACATGTAAAACATAATAACAAAGAAAAACAAGAACAACTTATTCATGAAGCTTATAAATTGATCTTGTTACCTTCTGAAGATCAATTCAAATGATTTACTAGCAAGATGGTGATCAAGTTCAGAGGAAAGAAAACTGGTGAAACATTTCTGTTGTTTCATGGTTCAATGCTTTTACAAAATCACAGATATTTTCCTGCATATAGTAATATGTTACTTACCTAACATCCTCAAGAAGGAGAGTCACATAATGCATCTTCCAGACAAACTTAGCTTATTTTAAGCGTCAAGATGATCTACCATCATTTGTAATTAAAATTTTTTAATTAATTTGTATGATTATTAAAGTAATACATTCTATTTCATATAGCATAAGACTAACTGAAACATATCTTGGTGGAATCTGAATGTCAGTTTATACTTTACCTCCCACACTTCTGTTAACTGTTTGGCATATAGTCTTCCAAATTTTATTTCTATGTACACATAAATGTTAATTGATCATTTGTTTTGTACCAAGACTGTTTAAAGTTATCCTAGTTACAGGCATTAACAAGATAGACAGATTCTCTACTCCAAAGGAGATTCTATTCCAGTGGAGAGACAGATAATAAAATATGTATCATGAATAAAATAAAAGAGGGTATGGAGAGCTAGTGGGATGAAGCCAACTTTAGATGTGGTGACCAGAGAAGGGCTCTCTGAAGAAGTAACATTTGAGATCTGAATGACAAGAAGGGATTACCAATGTGAAACCCCAAGAGAATAACATTCCAGGAAGAGCGAACAGCAAATGCAAATGTCCTGAGTCAAGGATAAGCTTGGTGTGTCTATAAACCAGAAAGAAGGGAGTATCCTACTGAAGTAGAGTGAATTGAGGAAAAACTGGCTAAGATAAAAAACAAGAAGATAAACAGGAGCCAGTTCGTAGAGAGATGCTTGGGAGTGGGGAGAGAGGTTTGGGAGAGCAGTAAGTCTGAGTACCATTCTGGACATTGAACGTGTGGGAGACTTAGAAATCCAAGTCAATGTTAAACTGACCATTGTGTATAAGACTCTGAAGCTAAGAAGAAAGACAGGGTTGCAGACACAAATTTCAAGTCATCAACACGTGGGTGGAATTTTAAGCCAAGAGATCCTGTGAGATCACCTAGGGAGAAAATAAAACCAGAGAAATTATCATTAGAGTCCAGCACAGGCCATAGGGTATCCCATTCTTAGAGGTCAGTCAGAGAAGGTGAGGAGATGCATAAATAAGAACCAGAAAGAAAACACAGAGAATATGGTATCGTAGAAAGCAAGAGTAAAATACATTTGGAGAAAGATGAATGATAAACTACATCAAATGCTGCTTTGAGTTCAGTTAAGATGACAAAAAAGTGACCACCGGATTTGACAACATGAAGATCATTATTGACTCACACATGAACATCCACGCAAGCTGTTATATTAAAGACTCTGCTTTTTGATGGTATTTTTAAAAATTGAACACTGCATGGACATGTGAGTTGCTTCTAGTTTGGGCTATAGACTCCATAGATTTACTTCATGGCTTCTTGCCTCTTTAAACAGAGATCACAAATCTTTTTTGTGTGATCAATGATCACCATTATCAACATCAATCATTGTGTGATTTTTCTTAGAATCTAGTTTTTGAGGAGGCTGTGTGTACATTAAGTATATTTAGACTGATGGGTTTTATAAAAATGAATATATCTTTTTTATGACCCGTAAAGAAACTGAACCCTTGCATGACCAATCATAGTGGGGTCCCAGCAGGAGAAAAATACCGATCTAATATTTAAATAGTTTAACACTTCATAGTCACCTCTCAGACAGACAAATGAAGACAAACAAACAAACAAAAATGGAAAGGAAGCCGGGCAAAGCAGAGTGCACCTATAGTCCCAGCTACCTGGGAGGTTAATGGAGGAGGATAGCTTAAGACCAGGAGTTCAAGGCTGAAGTGTACAATGACTGCACCTATGAATAACCACTACCACTACACTCCAGCCTGGGCAACCTAGAGAGACCTCATATTTGAAAAACAAAAAAGAAAGAAAGAAAGAAAGAGTGCAGGGGAATCTCTCATTACAATTTGTGCAATTTCCTGCGAATACAATGAAAATTATGTTGAAATTCAAAGGTTTTCAAAACAGACAAATGAGAAATATATTCAGAAATATATATATAGAAATATATAGGAAAACTTTAAGTCTTGCCTTCTTCACTGGTCTTTCAAATTAGCTGGCTAGTGTTTGTCTCAATTTCCTTTTTCCTTATCTATTTTTGTTGTTGTTGGTGTTCCTTCACTTATAATCCCCCTTCTAAACAACAAGAGCCCAGGAAACACACACATCCAGAAAAGAAGAAGCTTTAAATATTCACATTTATATTTTTTCTTATTATATATCGTTTATGTCTTCCCTTCTGATGATGTCACTTCTTGCTGCTGGTACACATCCACAAATGACATCTATAACAGCCCAACTATTCAGCTTCTAATCGGATGGGTGGGAATTCAGATGCTCGTTGCAATTGTCAAAACTATTAATTAATGGCAAGGAAATACTAAATGATTTCTTGACGATCATTTATAAATTATGCATAAAGTTAAGTGCATAGATTTTATGGCCATCTCGACATGTTTTTAGCACAGTGCTTGGTTTGAGTAAATGTTACCTCAATGAAAAGTCTTTTGCCTGCCTTTTTCTTCTGTTTTTTATGTGGTAAAGTTTTATCTATCTCCTCCCTCCTTTCCCCCTCTCCGCCCCACCAACATGTTGTGCACCCACCACACGACAGGCACCAAGTAAGCACTGGAACAAGAAAGCTGTGACCCTTGGTCCCGTGGGTTTTCTACTGTGGCAGCGGAAGAGAAAGTGCTCTGATGAAGAAAGCAGTATAGTTGCCAGAAGGCCTCGGATGATAAGCTGCATTTATCTAAACTGTAATCCCATCATCATTTCTCAGTTTCCTCTTTATTTGTGTAGAGTAGCAGAGACAACTACCCTTTCTGAAGTCTAGAGGAAGAACTTTAGGCCTCAGAGAATATAAGGCCTAAATCCAGTACTTCGTCCCCATGAGTGGGGCTAGACAAAGCATGGAAGTTCAAACCAGAGAAATAGGATGTTAAAAAAGTAAGAAACAATTAAAGTTATGAGTTTATGTAAACTGATGGTCTTAGGTACAGTTTCTATTGAGAAATGCAATAAACGTGAAACTTACTCATAGAATTTCATCATGTGATTGTTTTAAATAGAGTGAATGGCGAATATGATCAAGCAATTGAGTCACACCAGTTGCTTTCTGAATTCACAAGACAAACTAACTCTCTGTGGTGGAACACAGATTGCTTCAACTAAGGCAGCACTTGGGATTTTCCAAGGGCATTACAGAACTGTGGTGAATCAAGACCATCCACGAGGATCCTAACTCAGGCAAGTTAGTCTGCTCTGGAATGGGTGGGTGAAGCCCAGTTTTGATTAGTTTGGGGCTTTTGTAATAAACTCTTGGGAAATATGTCTATTCACACTTGAGCCACATCTTCCTGAAGCAATAGAAAATCACCCAGTTATGTTATGGCAAATACAGAATATCAGATTCTCAAGTATAGTTTTAAATGTTGAATACCTAGTTTTGAGGTTGTAAATGCCTAGCAAGATGTGAAAATAGGAAGGTGTTGATAAATCCTATTTAAGAGAATCATCATAATTTTTCCATTCATTTTTATGGTTTTTACTTTTCAAAAGCTTTTGATATATATCTTTCTATTTATGAAATAACCAACTCAGGCAAGACAAGTATCTCAGCCACGTTAAAGATGAGGAAATAGAGGCAAGAAGATTTGGTGGGAAATGTTATACAGCTTGAAATAGTTCAAATGGTCAATGAAGAAGAAGTTGCAATTAAGTCTGGGTTTTTTGCTGACTCTGCCATTAAGTGATTACTTTGAACAAGATCTTATCCTCTCCAAGTCTTTGATTTCTTATCTGTAAAATGGGGATGATTATAGTGCATTACACATAATGTAGATATTAAGATAAAATAAGACGATGTGTGTAAAATGTGTAACCAGTCTAGAGCTTGGCATAGCCTACGCACAAAATTGTTAGCTGTAATTATTAAGTGGAAAATTCAGGATCCAAACCCAGATTTTTCTGAATTAAAGCTCAGCATTCTACCTCTATGGCCCAGTACCTCACAAGAAGTTTAGGAGAGTCAAAGACCACCTGACTACAGATTTAGGAAAGGGTAATGTACCACCACCTAGATGTGAATCAAATTCAGCTAATATTTATTTCACGCATTTAACTCATTAGTCTATATGAACTTGGTATGTGTGTTGTGCCAGCCCCTTTTTAGATGCTGGAGCCACAGAAATAAGGAAGACAGGCAAGATCTCTGCCCTCAAGGGGGCATAGGTAATTAACAAAACAAAAAACACTTTTATTTCTGATTTTAAAAAGCACTATTTCTATTACCAAAAAGGTCTTGCCCGTGCATGAATGATTGGTACCAAGATCTCACAAGCTTGCCTCATCTAGTCCACACAATAGAGCTATGAAGTGGGCACTGCTGTCTCCATGTATAACTGATGTGAAAATGTGAAGCTCTGGCTACAAGACTAGGGCATGATCTTGCTACGCTGTGCTGTTCCACGGGGAGTGCTCCATCTACCTGTTAAAAGCAAGCTCGAGGACCTAGAATCAAAGAAGGCTAAAGAGTTTCTTTGCACATCTTTAAAATTAAAA